ATCTGGGGTTTTGACTGGGAAACTGGATTTGGAAATTACTTGAGGTCAGAATGAACCAGAGTCTGAGAAAGAAAGCTTCAGAGGAGCATGTAATTTCTCTGTCAGTGAAGCCTTATCAAGAGCAGTGAGCTGGAAATCAGGAAAATAAGCTAATTCCTGACTCTACAAGTGACAAAATGGCCTTGAAGAACTCAAACTATACCTCAGCTTACTTATATATTAAAAATAAAAAGATAATTCAACGATTCTAACTGCTATGAGGCAACAATGAAAGTAAATATTTTCTTCCTTCCTAGAGCTATGTTAGAAAATGTCAAAGTAATGATTTTAATCAAGATGTGTTGATATGTTGTTCCTTGTGACTATAAATTTCCTCCATGCAAGTAGAAGAATATTAGGCACAATCAAAGTACTAAAAGACAGAGAGGTTTTGATTTCAATTCTCAGATTTGTTTTAAAATAGACCAACTCCAGTTTTGGTTGGGACACTCATTTGAACGTAAGATGATAAATATTTGACAGCGGTTTCTAAACTGGAAAACCAGAGGGCAGGTTCATAGATCAGAGGGGACAAACTAGATGCTAGTTTGGGAACTTCAGGATAAAATAAAGAATGGGAGTTTCAGAGTTTTTCTACTCTGCTCCTTTAATTTTGGTAAATCATTAACATGGAAACAACATATTTTGAAAACTGATTAATAATAAGTTTTCACTGATGAATAGAGAATTCTGTTTGTGATTTAAAAAAGAAAAAAACCAAACTATAACCTGAATCTTCTTTAATTTTTGTGTTTAACATGATATAATTTTTCAATGTGCGTAACCTTAATCTTCTTGAAGCCAAATTAAAAATGCATAACTATGAGCATTTAGTAAGACTGCCAAAGTTTTTTGACCCTTATTAACAATAAATGTATCTGTGGAAGTCAGAGAAATAGTAGCTTCCCTGGAGCAAAACATTTCCAATAATTAGATATTTCTTGTGAGAAACCCAGAAAAGGTATGACTGATTGCTTTCTTGGATTAAACCAAGGGTACTAAACGAGAAACAAATTAGAGGCAGATATTCAGTAGATTGAGATTAATTTTATTCTCATGGGTACTATTTCCCTGGCTGTTTGGACTAACAGTAATTTGTTTCCAGAGAAGTGAATATGTGTCAAAATAACTAAGCCAATCACCACAGTTCAATAAGATTTTCCCATATATGTATTTTGAAAGTGGATGAATGTTTCTAATAAACAAAATGTCTAGCATTTGTATTAATAATAACTTTCAATATAAGTAACATAATATACATTCATTCATTCAACCTAGATATGTCAGACACTGTAAGATTCTGGGGGGATTCGAAAATAAATAAAATGAGGTTCTTGCCTGGAGCTCTAGTGGGAAAGAGACAAGCAAGCACTAGAGACAGTACAGGATTATGGGGCCCTGACAGAGATGTGAACGGAACTCTACAGGAACGTAAATCTTCCCTACTTTCTTGAGGGAATTTTTCTTCCCTCAAGAAAGATAACATAATATAGTTCGCTATCAAAAAAAAAAAAAGCAAAAACATATGAGAATGGTTGCTCTTCAGGTCAATAATAATAACAATGACTTTACATGTTGTGGCCATTGATATTTTATAAAATGCTTTGGTATTGGAAGGTAGACAGACCCACTTTAATTATCACTTATATTTACCCATGATCTTTGCAAACACGTTAAGAGCAGGAACCATGTCTTTCACCTTTTTGTATTCCAAGGCCTAGCACAGTACCTGTTACACAGTAACAGTTTCAACATGGAGGATGAACGAATGCATGCACAGATACAGGAGTATTGATGATTGCATAAATGGCACACTTCTGAGTTCACAGATAACAGAATTTAGTGGAAAGGCAATACCTGGAAAGAATAATTGATATCTGATATATCAGAGAGGTTCAGTACTGACAGTCCTTAATCATAGCAGACATATGTGATTCATTTTTTAATGATTTCTCTAGATACATGGCATGACTACACAATAGGCATTTGGTAACTACTTACTGAATGAACAGTTCTACCTTCACAAATACGTCTCTTGGACCCAACTTCTTCTCTCTGCATAGCTTTCTATATAACTCTACTCTCTTCTTCTAAAGTAGCTTGAGTTGCCCTATTAGTCCCCCTAAAGTACTGTGATCATGTAAATTCAATTTTCTTATTTCCTAAGTAGCCCCCTAGTAGTCAGGACCCTTCATTTAAAAAATTAAAAAATAAAAGCACATGGAGCACATAGTACAAAAGCCTGGCACGAGCCCACATCGGATGCTAAATGGCTGAAAATTAATGAGCTAGGTTGTCCTGAGAAAATTGGTTATTCGTATGTTTTAAAATGATAATGGATGGACCCCTACACAAAAGTTATTTGTTATATCACAAAATATTTGAGAATATAGTATAATTTTAAAACAATGTCTGCTTAGCTCTTTAGTTTCCCAGCTGTTGTTTACTACTGGGTTTGAGAGCCTCACCCCATAACAGCGCAGTTTAGGAATCTGCTAATAATTTGTGAGGGGTCTATACCCAGATTTTTGAGTTCCTTCCCTGCAGTTGCCTTCTCTCCAGGACTCTGCCCTGCAAGACCCAGGCACCGCCAGCTCCAAGCGCTATCTGGGTTTCTCAGCCTACAAAGATTACAGCTTCCGGCTTGGGTTGCCTTTTGAAATCCAATTTGGAAAATGCCTTAAGGAAAAAGTCAGAATAAATAGGGAGCTAATTTCACATGCTTCCCTTTTCTGAATGAGCGCAGTTTCTTAGATCTTGCTTATGCTGACTGCTCTCGGTGCCTTTAAACAATGTACTGTATATATTTTGCTCAGTTTTGAGAGATGTTTTTGGCAGATGGGTTATTCTAAAATAAGTGGTCATGGTCAGATCTTATGCTTTGTTATGACAGTTTCTTATGGGTTGCTCATTTTTCTGATTTCTTCTCTTATATCTTTAGACATTCCATCAATGGTTATTTTATATTGTGTTTCTAATGATGGCAATACCTAATGTTTTTGATGGAATAAACCTGCTTATCATTTTTGCTCTTATTCATGGTAGATTGCTTCCTCATGTGTTTCACTGTGGATAATGTTTGATCTGTTTAAAAATGTCCCAGACATTTAAGGTGAAGAAGTTTTCTCTAAAGAGAGCTTGTGCTTGTGTCTGCTCAGAGGCAGGGTGTGCTGCAGACCTGGAAGGTATGTCATCTACCACTACTCTGCAAAAATTATTTCTAGACCCTGCACCATCTTATTCCTTCCTGATCTATGCAAACTTTGATTTCTTAATAATGGTGTTTTTTGTATGAAGCACAAGATCAAACACAATACCCAGGTTTGACATGCACAGACAGAGTACTAAAGAATTATTACCAACCTTATTCTGGAAACTCTACCAATACTAGGATAGCCTAAAGATATATCACTGCTTTTGGCAACACAGAAAAACAAATTGCAGCACAGAGCTGGGAAATGCATAGTTACCAGATAGCCGAAAGAACATGAGACTTGTTATTTATGAAGTCAGCTATGTAAATTGTGACATGTAAATCATAGTTCTATTTATTCCTTGACATTAAAAAATCACAATTAAGAAAATAAAGGCAAAACGAAGAGCAAAAGGAAACAAGGCACTGCATCCTGTGGAGAGACGTACAGCTAAATGGCATGGCTGGGTGTGCACTCTCTCTTTCATTTCACACCCCTGCTAAAATGTCTTACTGCAGGATCATCAGCTTAGATACTCATTTTTCCCCACATGATCCACTGATATTATGTTAGTCTTCTCCCATTAGCATTTCTGAAGTTGATTTTTAAATCTAAATGAATCACAATTTTAAAAGATCAAATTCTTAATATTGGGCTTATTCCCAGTCTGAAATGTCTACTTTATGAAAAGAAGTTAAATGGAGTCACCCTTTCTGAATGAATAATTTTAACAGCCGACAAGCCTAGGTGAAAGGTTGTAAGTACCTGAGTAGTAGTTAAAAGTGAGACTGAAAATGAGAGAGTTTTTTTTTAAATTACTATAGTGAAAAGCAAATTCAAAAGCAGTAACTTTGGAAATAACCTGACATACACCTAACATATAACTAGCATATCCAACAGTATATCTTAATGTCAGTCTCTTTTTATGTAATCAACTAATGAAAAGGTATTTTTCTAACCCTTCAATTAATATGCTATTCTGGTTCACTTTTAGACAGGAAATAACTCTAATATTAGTTTCTGCTTGAACTACCTAATTTTTATTGCTTTTTACACACAAAAAATAACATAAGTCTAAAATAAAAAAAAGAAAAAAAAAGAAAAACACCAGGCACTAGAAATAGATTTTATAGACCAAAATTTTATGGTGGGAAGATAGTTTTCAGGGTACAAAGATTTTTAAATAAATTTGAAACTTCCCATTTTTATTTTTTGAAATCATTTAAATAGGTAATACAGCTTTAGATTTTTTAAAAATTGAAAACTTTCAGAAAATAAAATTCTGTGATGCCCCTAAACTGTCCCATATTTTAGGGGAGACTATAGATTTTTATTGCAAAAGTAGTACCCATTAAACAAAAAATTTTAAACAGTGGAAAGTACAAAAATTCCCAATATTCCCGATATTTAAACACAACCACTATTAACATCTCATGTGATGTTTGTTAACTGCTTTTTTCCATGCACAAATTGATTTGTAATATAGTTCAATCACAAAGTTGTACATACAATTTTTACTCCTTTTCCCTGACTTAACCTTAGATCATACAATAAAATCTACTGTTTGAGAAACGAGAATTAGTAAAAGTAGCCACTGCTGCTTATTCGTGCCTTACTATCTGCAGTTTTGAGACTAACTGTAGAGAAAACATATGAAACTAAGATTCATACACTTGTGATTTATCATCTGTCCATTGCACAGTTCCATGCACCAAGTAATAACTACCACACAAAACGCTTATACTTCAAAGTAATTTTACATCTCACCTTTTGAGCTGCAAGATGCAGGGCTGTTCTCCGGCTGTGGTCAGTTTTATTAACATCCGCGCCCGCCTTCAGGAGGGCATCTGCACAGTCCAGCCTGTCAGCCAACACACAGTACATAAGGGGTGTTCTCCCAAACTGATCCTCTTTGTCTTTAAGGGCAGCGTTTCCTACGAGTAAAAGAAACAGATGGTGACATTTGATAATTGTTGTTGTTATTACTAATATGATTATGAACTACATTTACTGAGTGTTTATCAAGCACTGTGCTAAATGCATTAAATACAGTACCTCATTTTTACTGACCCTATCAGATAAATATTACCATCCCCATATTACAGGAAACTGATGCTCAGAGAAGTAAAGGAGCTTGTTTATATTACATTGGTGGTAGAGCTAAAATTCAAAATGACTGTTGACTCTAAAGGCCATATTCTTAACAACATGTTATGCTAAATTAACATTGTGAGATGTGAAGCAACTAATTTTCCTCCCTCCTTTCTTTTGCCAACAAATGCTTGGTGCAGGCCATACAGTAGGTGATGTGGTATGTTTTTGAGAGATACAAAAACGAGTCATGGTTGGCTTTCCATTTTAGACAATATGGAGCGAGTGTGTACTGCCCTGATCCTCCTGCTATTTACAACTAAACACCCGGGAAAAAGATATGAAAAGTGGAGAAAAGAAGAGAGACTGATTATAGAGAACTACGAAACCCCGGGAACAGCCTGATTGTGAGTTCCCTGAAGGTTTTTGGTTTTGTTTTTTTGCCTCCTCTATACATCCAGTCTGAGTGCAAAAGTAGTCCACCAGAGACACTAATGGGCGCAGACACAAAATCCCCCGAGATGCCTATTCTCCCAGGCAAAAGATTGGGAGGAGGGTAGCCCTGCAGGGGTAAACTCTTTTGACTGTACCTGCTCCACTCAAAGCACATACAAGAGAAACCGCAATTCCCTTCCTCCTGGCTGAGAATTACAGCGACTGTGGGGAGGGGCCCTGTGAACCACTGTGCTCCATGGACATTGTGCCCCAAATTAGCAAATGATGGCAACGAGGTGGTATTTGATTCCTTCCAAACTGGAATGTGGAGGAGTACTGCGGAGAGGAGGAAGCTGAAGAAACCAAATTCTTTAAATAGGTGCATGAAGTTGTGGACAACTCTGAGCAGCCCATGTGTGAAATTAACCAGAATCAAACTGGAAAAAAACTTCGAGACTTGAACTCTGGGTGGAATACTGGCCAGGTTCTAAAATGGCATGGTTAGAACAGCAGTGATGTGAAAAGCCTTGCAAAGCTCAGAAAAAATAACTTGAAATTTGAATCACGGTCCACAAAATTGGAGCAAAATGTTCATTCAAACCGAAATAGGTTGTCAGTCTGCTAAAACAGGAGATTTAAGTAGGATCTAGAGTCTCATAACACAATATACAAACTATACAAGACATAACCCAAAATTACTAGATAAACCAAGAGCCAGGAAAATATTTACTTTGATAAGAAAAGATAATCGACAGGCACCAACACTGTCATGATAGAGATATCAGAATTATCTGACAAGGATTTTTAAAGCAACTATGATAAAAATGATCTGACTGAAACAAATGGAAAAATGAAGAATGTCTCATCAAAGAAAGAAAATATAAAAGATGAACCAAATGAAAAGTTTAGAATGGTAAATATTTAATAAGTTAAGTAGATAACCAAATAAAAAAATAAAAACTTTATTGAACAGGATCAGTAGTAGAATAGAAGTGACAGAAAAAAAAACCACTGAACTTGTTATAGACCAACAGACATTATTCAATCTAAACACTCGATAGAAAAGATAGAAACAGAGGGAACTGACAGAGTCTCAGGCCTCTGTGGGACAAGAACAAAGTATTATCATTCATATCATCTCAGAAAAAGAGGAAAAAGAAGTAAGGGCTGAAAACGTATTTGAAGGAATAATGGCTGGAAATGGCCCATACTTGGTGAAACACACAAACCTAAAGACCTAAGAAGCTGAGAAAAGTTCAAACAAAATAAACCCGAAGGAATCCATGATGACTCAGTCAGAATCATTTCTGAAAACTAAAGATAAAGGAAAAAATCATGAAAGCAGCCAGAGAGAAACAACACATTACCTACAGGAGAGCAACAATTCCAATGACAGTATGTTTCTCATGAGCATCTATGGAACCAGAAAGCAATGGCACAGTATTTTCCAAGTGGGCGGGGCGGGGTGGGGGGAGAGGAAAGAGCTGTCAACCCAGAGTTCTATTTCCAGTGCTTGCCTGGCGCTGAGGTTGGGGCTGGGGGTTGGGGGGTCATAGCTAAAGCACGTAGGAGTTCTTTCTTTTGGAGGAAATGAAATTGTTCTAAAATCAACTGTGGTGATGTTTGTGCAACTCTGTGAATATACGAAAACCATCGAAAAATACACCTTAAACTGGTTAATTATATTGTATGTATGTATGTATGTATGGTGAATTTCAATAAAGCTGTTACAAAAAGCCCTACTAAATATAAAGTAAGATGGAATACCATGACATTCAAGAAATGCAGAGAACAAAGAGAGAAACAAGAAAAATAAGCAGAGGGAACAAACAGTAAACATAATAAATTAGACAATTTAAATCCTAACATTAATAATTACATTAAAGGTAAATGGTATGAACACAATAATAAAAAGAGAGATAGGTTTAAAAACGAGGACCTAAGTGCCCTGGCCAGCTGTGGCTCAGTTGGCTGGAGTGGTGTTGTATACACCAAAAGACTGTAGGTTCAGTTCCCAGGGAGGGCACTACCTAGGTTGCAGGTTTGATCCCCAGTCAGGGGTGTGTGTGAAAGGCAACCGATCCACATTTCTCTCTCACACCGATGTCTCTCTCTCTCCATCCCCCCTCTTCCCTTCCTCTCTCTCTAAAATCAATAAACATATCCTCAGGTGAGGATTAAAAATAAAACAAAACAAGGACCCAATTATATGCTATTTATAAGCAATTCACCTGAAATATAATGATATAAGTAGGTTAAAAGTAAAAGATTAAGCAAATGTATCATGTAAACAAACACTAATCAAAAGAAAGCTGGAATGATTATATTAATACCTGATAAAGTAGACCAGAGAAGAAACAATCAGCAGAGACAGACAAAAACATTATACAATGATGAAAGGGCCAATTCATCAAGAATACATAACAATACTGATGTGTGTGTACCGAACTACAGTCTCCAAAATATAGGCAGCAAAAACTGACAGAGTTGAAAGAAAACGGGAAAAGCTCATAATTAGAGTTGGTACCTTCAATACCCCTCTCTTAATAACTGCTTAAATAACTGAATAAAAATCAGCAAGGATAAAGAACTAAACACTACTATAGAGCAGCAGAATATAACTGATATTTACTGAACATGTCACCCAATGATAGCCAGACAGACAGTCTCTCAAAACACCTATGTAATATCCTCCAAAATAGAACATATATTAGGTCATAAAACAAATGTTAAAATTTAAAGAGGTGAAATCATACAAAGTATATTCTCTGATAATAATGCAATGAAACTAGAAATCAGTAACAGAAACAGTGGGAAATCATTGAATATTTGGGAATCAACACATAGATAATCCATGGGTTAAAGATAAAATCTCAAGGGAAATTTTTTAAAAATTAAATAATGGAAAGTAAGAACACTGTTGCAAGGTTCCTACCCTACACATGTGGAGAGCTTAGAAGGAAATACACAGCATTGAATACTTGTATTAGAATATCAATACAAGTATCAATATCCTATCCTTTTACTTTGATATACTCACACACAAAAAGAGAATGAATTTATTAACCCAATGAAGCAGAGGAAGTACATAATAAAATAAGAGCAGAGATCAATGAAATTAAAATCAGAAAAATGCTAGAGAATAACCAACACAGCTAAAAGTTGTTCCTTAGAAAATACCAACAAAATTAGTAAATCTCTGATCAAATTGATCATTAAAAACATAGCACAGAGAAATTTCTGATATCAAGAACGAAAAAGGGACATCACTAAGGAGCCTGCAGACATTAAAAAGAAAATAAGGGAATGCTATAAACAATAAACAAAATCACAATTTAAATGAAATGGCAAAAAACCAGACACAGAGATCAGTAAGACAGAGCAGGATGACAGCTGTGGGGGAGGGGTGGTTCAGAGGTGGAGGGACAGTGCAGAAAGGAAAAAGGAGTCATGGGCATGGACAATAGTGTGGTGATTGCAGGGTGGGAGGTAGGTGGGCTATAAGGAGGATAAATGGTAATAGAAAAAAACACAATAAAAAATTAAAATGTTCACTATGAAAAAAAGATAGAACTGAGAATACAGCAGCAGATATGAGCAACTGTTTTTTGAAAAAGTGCAAAGGCAAACCAAAGGATAGTGTATTAAATAAAGGGTGCTGGAAAAATTGGACATCTATGTGCAAAAACAAAAAAGAAACAAACCCCAAACTCTTAGCCTAAATGTTTCACCACGTACAAAAATTATGTCAAAATCAATCCTAAATTTCAATGTAAAACCTCTATTACTACATAAAAGTTTTAGAAGCAAATGAGAGTGAAAGATCATGTATGTGATCTTGGGTTAGGCAAAGATTTCTTAGACATGATACCAAAGAATGATCCATTAAAAACTGATAAATTAGATTTCCTCTAAATTAAAAACTCTTTGGAAGACATTGTTAAGAAAACTAAAGGATAAGCCACAAATAGGGAGAAAATATTTGCAAAACATATATCCCATAAAACCTTCTATCTAGAATAAAGAATTCTTAGAAGTGAACAATAAAAGATACATAACGTAACTGAGAGATGGGCCAAAGGTCTGAATAGACTTTTCACCAAACAGGCATAAGAAAAAAATGTTCCATGTCATAATACACAGGGAAATACAAATTCAAACCACAATGTGATGCCATTACAACATTTATCAGAATGGAAAAAACAAAATCAAAATAAACCTGATAACACCAAATGCCGGTGAGGATGTAGAACAACTAGAAATCTCAGCCATCACTGGCAGGAATACAGAACAGTTCAGCCACTAAGGAAAAATGTCAGTTTCTTATTAAGTTAGTTATTATTGCATTACAACGTGACCCAACAATCCCTCTTCTAGGTGTTTGCACAGGGCATATAGAAGCGTGAAA